CCTGGCTCTGTGCTCAGGGGTCTCTCCTGGTGGGGCTCAGGGGACCATCCAGGGTGCCGGGAGTGGAACCCGGGTTCAGCCACGTGCAAGATTCCTTGCTCGGTGCTCAGGATCAGCCCCGGCGGCGCTCGGTGGATCCCCTGAGCGGAACCAGGGGTGTTGGCTGCAGAGAAGGCAACGGAGTGTGTGGTTCCAGCCATGCAAAGGTCTCAGACGGGTCACACCTTCCGGCCACGCAGGGCAAGGCGACAGAATGCTCTGCCCTGGGCCACGGCGGCCTCCCAGGCACCAGACTCTCCACCTGCCCTCAGCACCCCTGCACGGCCTCACACTCTGCTCCCCTCCGGCCCCTGCTCCTCCCGCCATGGGCACCGACCGGCACCTCCCAGCAGCTCCAGGCACCCTCGGCTGAGTCCAGGGGCCGGGCCCCTCTGCCCCCCGCTGCCTACTTGGGGGCTTTATAAGAAGGGGCCGACGGGTTAAGCGCCACAAGCCCCAGCTCGGCGTGAAGCGCTCACACAGGAGGCATCTTGCAAGGGTTCACTCACGCACCGAAACACACGCATAGAAGGGACTCAGCACCGAGGGTGCTCATACAAGGAACTCAGCGCTGAGGGTGCTCAAAAAAGGGACTCAGGGCTGAGGGTCCTCATACAAGGGACTCAGCGCTGAGGGTGCTCCTACAAGGGACTCAGCAAAAAGGGTGCTCATAGAAAGGACTCAGTGTTGAGGGTGCTCGTACAGGGACTCAGCACTGAGGGTGCTCATACAAGGGACTCAGAGCTGAGGGTGCTCATAGAGGGACTCAGCACTGAGGGTGCTCACACTGGGACTCAGCACTGAGGGTGCTTCTACAAGGGACTCAGCACTGTCAGTGCTCACACAAGAGACTTAGCACTGAAGGTGCTCATACAAGAGACTCATCACTGAGGGTGCTCCTAAAAGGGACTCAGTGTTTTGGGTGCTTATATAGAGCTTCAGTACTGGGGGGTGCTTCTACAAGGGACTCAGCGCTGTGGGTGCTCACACAAGGGATTAGCACGGAGGGTACTCGTAGATGGGACTCAGCACTGAGGGTTCTCACACAAGGGACTCAGCGCTGAGGGTGCTCCTACAAGGGGCCAGCGCTGAGGGTGCTTGTACAAGGGACTCAGTGCTCAGGGTGCTTCTACAAGGGACTCAGTGTTTAGGGTGCTTATACAGGCTTTCAGTGCTGGGGGTGGTCCTACAAGGGACTCAGCGCCGAGGGTGCTCACACAAGGAACTCAGCGCTGAGGGTACTCCTACAAGGGACTCAGCGCTGTGCCCTCCAGGGAAGAACGTGGCCCACGAGGTGCTTCTGGGAGCGTGGCAGGGTTGCACACGGCAGGGAGGGATGGTGGCTTAATCCCTCGCAGCCCCGCTCCCGGCCACGCTCACGCCCGTGTGGTCGGGCGCGAAGTCGGCCGGACACTCGTGACAGATTCCTTTGGGCGGTGCTCATGCCCACGGCCACGCCACGTGGATTCTGAGCGGCCACCGCGACCACACGATCGAGTTCTTGGGCATTCAGTGCGCGTCACGGGTCGGTGACGCCTGTGAGGTCTCTGCCTCCCTCGCCCCTTACTGGCGCCTGTACAGGCAAAACAGGGTGCCCGAGAGGCCACGCAGACGTCCCCACGACAAGCCACGCACACAAGAGACGGTTTCAGTGCCCAGGAACGTTTTTATTTTCATCTCACGGGAATGAGAGTGCAAGGCGTTCAGTGGGATCTGGTGGCGGCGTCCACGGCTCTGACGGCGTGTTGCGGGCTGCTGTCGTCGGCCCTCGGGGTCACCCGTGGCTGGGGGGGGGTGAGGGTGTCTCATAGCATCTCCAGCTATGCCACTGTGTGGGCAGCTGCCTCTCACCTGTGCCAGGATGCCCGGGTCGGTCCCCCAGAATCTTGGTTCGGCGTATAACACCTCCCGAACACCGGGGAGGGAGAAACACGTCACGTCTCGTTCCATCAGACCAGCGGCCGTTCCCAACCCCGGCTAAGGTCTGTGCTTACGCACTGGGAAAAAAAAAATTCCCCAAAGTCCGCTGGCAAGAACCAGCTAGAACTAGCCAGAGCCGTGCCAAGGCTCGGACCCAGATCCAACAACTTTTTTTTTTTCCTTGTAAACAAAACCAACAAAAATCCCAACTAGCCAGAGCTGTGCCAAGGCTCGGACCCACATCCAACAACTTTTTTTTTTCCTTGTAAACAAAACCAACAAAAATCCCAACTAGCCAGAGCCGTGCCAAGGCTCGGACCCACGTCCGACAACTTTTTTCTTGTAAACAAAACCAACAAAACTCCCAACCTTCTGAAAGGTAAGTCAGGCTTTCTCCCCAAAGATTATTATTATTTATTTATACTTTAAATACATTCAAGGGAATTCCAGACCCATTCAGGGACCCGGAAATCATCCCACTGGCCAGACTCAGTCGCCTCTTCCAGCATCCGGAAATGCAGCAGCCGAACGTGTTACTCAGATCCACCCCCCCCCCCCCCCCCCGCCCCCGAGGTATAAGTTGGCTTTATTCTTCACGTGCTGCGGTTTAAGACAAAGCTTTGGGAGCAAGGGTCGGCTCAGCCTGCCACTCCAGACACCTCCCCAACCGCCCTGTCCTTCCGTGTGGTGGGTCGGCCAAGACCAGTGCTCAGGTCCAGGCGAGGACAGCGCTCGGGTCCACGGGAGGACAGCACTCAGGTCCACGGGAGAAGCATGTTCCAGAAGAAGACTAGCAATGCTCCCAGCTGCTCCCGGGGGAGTCAGCTCCGTTGCTATTCCTATTAGCGGTGGTTTCTGTGGCTTGGGGGTACCCGGGCTTCCTCCTGGCTGGGGAGGAGCTCAGGGCTCACTCCCGATGGGCTCGGAGGACCCCCGTGGCATGCCAGGGATCAGACCCACGTGGGCTGTGCAAGGCGAAACGCCCTCCCGGCCCTGTGGGCGCTAATTCCCTTTAAAGGGTGCAAGCAAGCTAGAAACAGTGCAGGCTGGATGGCTCAGAGCGGGGGGTCTGGAGGGGCGCCCCAGAAAAGAATGAGGGTCTGCCACCCGGGCAGGGGGCCAGGCGCCAATCCGCTAGGACACCGGGGAAAGACTAAAGGCACATGCCGGAAGGGCAGATGCGCACTCACAGTGTGGAGCAGATGAGGAGAAGGGGGTGGGCACAGGCTAAGTCTACCCGGGACCCCCGAGAGACGCCGGGAGGCCAGGAAACGTCAGCAGGAGGGACAGATGTGGTCAGCACAGACACGATGTGGTCTGCAGAGACGAGACGTGGTCTGCAGAGGCAGGAAGTGGTCCGCAGAGACAGCATGTGCTCCGTGGAGGGACAGATGTGGTCCACAGACACAGGGAGTGGTCTGCAGACACAGGAAGTGGTCTGGAGGGAGGGGATATGGTATGGAGACAGGAAGTGGTCTGCAGACAGGAAGTGGTCTGCAGAGACAGGAAATGGTCTGTAGGCAGGACATTGGGGGTCTACAGAGACAGGAAGTGTTTTGTAGGAGGGATGAACACAGGACGTGGACTGCAGAGATGGGAAGGGGTCTGCAGAGACAGGAAATGCTGCATAGCAGAGACGGACATGGTCTACAGAGACAGGAAGTGGCCTGCATTGAAAGGAAGCGGTCTGGGGCGGGAGCGATAGCACAGTGGATAGGGGGTTTGCCTTGCACACGGCTGACCCGGGTTCGATCCCCGGCATTCCATATGGTCTCCCAAGCACCACCAGGAGTAATTCCTGAGTGCAAAGCCAGGAGGAACCCTTGAGCACTGCCGGGTGTGACCCAAAAAGCAAAAAAAAATAAATAAATAAAATAAGGAAGTGGTCTGCAGAGACAGGAAATGGCCTGTAGGCAGGACATAGGTGGTCTGCAGACAGGAAATGCTTCGTAGGAGGGATGGACAGGGTCTGCAGAGACAGGAAGTGGTCTTCATTGACAGAAAGTAGTCTGCACAGACAGGAAATGCTTTGTGGGAGGGATGGACATGGTCTACAGAGACAGGAAGTGGTCTGCAGAGACAGGAAGTGGTCTGCAGAGATAGGAAGTGGTCTGCGGACAGGAAGTGGTCAGTAGGAGGGACATAGGTGGTCTGCACAGACAGGAAATGCTTTGTGGGAGGGATGGACATGGTCTACAGAGACAGGAAGTGGTCTGCAGAGACAGGAAGTGGTCCGTAGATGGACATAGGTACTCTGCAGAGATAGGAAATGCCCCGTAGGAGGGATAAACATGGTCTGCAGAGACAGGAAGTGGTCTGCAGAGATGGAGAGTGGTCTGGAGGAAAGGGTGTGTCTGCAGAGCCGGGCAGAGCCCCCTGCACACTGGTGCACTCTCGTCTCTGCGTGGACCGGCCCGCAGTGATGGGACCATCCTGGCGTGGCCTAGCGGCATGGTGCATTCCACAGGAGCAGAGATCACGGTGTGCGGCTCCGGCCGCTGGGTTGGCCTGCCTGCCGTGGGCTGGGGCACTCGCTGCCACGGTCTCCTCTGCCCGTCCACAACCCAACATGGGGGACCAGACGTGGCCAGTTCTTCCCGTCACCGTGGCAGGAGTGTCCGCAAGGCATGCCCGCTGGGGAGGGCAGCACAGCAGGGCCGTGGGCTCCCTCCCTGTGTGTGTACATCCAGGGGCGTGTGGGTCTCACAGCGAGGGTGGGCAGGAGTGAGCAGGGATTCCGTGGCTGGCACTATGCACAGCGGGGTGGGGTGGCAGCGGTGGCGGGCACGTTGGCTGAGGGAGGAGCCTTCAGTGCCGAAGCGCCTGGACCTTTTGCCGGAGCACGGCCGGGGACACAGAGCCCTCCCAGCTCCCGTGGACAGCAGACGTGGCAGCGGGCCACGTGAGCAGGGCACCCTAGTGCACCGGTTGCTCTTTCTGCCTCCCACGAGGATCTTGAACACGGGCTGGATTCATGCCCATCCCCGGGGGGCCCAGCCCGAGTCCCACCCCGTGTCCGGCAGGCGGGGCTCCGTGTGTGGCTAGTGGCCACGGGGCGGTGGCGGTTCCCGGTCACAGTGGCAGGCCTCGCCCCAGCTCGAGCAGCACATCTGCAGCCAGGGCTTCCAGACGAGCTGGCCCAGGGTCATCTGGTCGGGCGCGGGCGGCTGCAGCGTCCGCGCGTGGCGCTCCGCGGCCTGGCGCATGGCGGCCAGCACCTGCCCGTACTGTGGCTCCGTGGCCGGCGTCAGCGGCGTCCGCTCCCGGGGGTCCCTGGAGAGGTCGAAGAGCAGCGGCGGGTGGTGATGGGTGACGAAGTGGCCGTGGCAGAAGCAGATGTGCGTGGGGAAGCAGCCGTTGGCGCCCTCGGGGGAGAACTTGGGGGTGAAGAACTGAGCCTTCCACACCGACGAGCCTGCAGGGCGAGCGTCAACAGGGTCACAGCGGGCCCAGAGCACGCCCAGTGCCCGCTGCCAGCCGGGACTGGGGGGCACTGTTCCCTCTCACTCCACCCGGGCGTAGCGAGCAGGCGGTCACACTCCCAAAGGACTGGACTGCCTCGGTGGCTCCGGGCTTGTTCCTTGGCAACTCAGCTGCCCGGGCCAACCGTGCCCACCCCGTGGTCCCCACGACTAGCAATTCCCGACAGAGAGCAGAGTGGCATTGCCAGGGTCTTCTCCAAGGCTGACGGTGCCATCCTGGTAGCCAAGCTCTGCCCTGGCATTCCTGCTGGGCACTCGGCGGACGAAGGACACAGCCCACACCGCTGCCGGCCCCCCGGCCCCACAGAGGCTCAGGGTCCACCCGGCACCCTGTCTGCAAGGCACAGAGGAAGTCACCCGGGCGTGGCTTCGCTGGGACTCGAAGCGGCTGGAACTACAAAATTCGGGGAACGCTAGTCGTGGGGACCACTTGGGTGGGTGCCGGCATCTTGGGGTCGTTGGCCCGGGCAGCTGAGTTGCCCAGGAACAAGCCCGGAGACATCGAGGGGTCCAGTACCCGCTTGCTGTCAACTCTCCCAGACCGCCAGCCTCTCCTGGACCCCCAGCAAGGACCATCCTTTGATCTCCATCCTTTGAGCCTCAGCTGGGCGGGGACCCGAAGCCCCCGCCCACCTGCCCAGCCGCCGCCCTCCGCCGCACTCACTGTTCCGTGGACGCCAGCGCACGGCGTTGAGGTAGAAGTTGCAGTAGTGGAAGAGGAACTCGTGCTCCGAGGACTCCCGCGTGCCCTGCAGTAGTGGCATCAGGTCCCGGCCGTCGATGACCCTGCGGGCAGAGCGAGAGGTCAGCGGCCCCCGCTGGGCAGTGCTGGGTCACCAGGGGTGCCTGTGCTCTGCCCAGGGATGACAAGGCAGCGCAGGTAGGGCGGGCCAGGCCGGGTAGGCTCAGGGCACAGCCAGGAGCTTCTCTCTGACCAGAAGCTCGGGGTCTGTCCAGGAGGCGTGTGGGAGGTCTCTGCACCCCCTGGCAGGGAGCCCGCATGCTAGGTCAGGATCAGAGACCCTGGGGCTGGAGCCATAGCACAGCGGGGAGGGTGTTTGCCTTGCACGCGGCCAACCCGGGTTAGATTCCCAGCATCCCATAGGGTCCCCCGAGCACCGCCAGGAGTCACTGCTGAGCGCAGAGCCAGGAGGGACCCCAGAGCATCGCCGGGTGTGACCCAAAAAGCAAATAATAATCATCATCGTCATCATCATCGTCACTGTCACTGTCCTCCCGTTGTTCATCAATTTGCTCGAGCGGACACCAGGAACGTCTCCACGGTGAGACTCGCTGTGACTGTGTTTGGCATCTCGGAGACGCCACGGGGAGCTTGCCAGGCTCTGCCATGTGGGCGGGATCCTCTTGGGAGCTTGCCAGGCTCTCCGAGAGGGACGGAGAAATCGAACCCGGGTTGGCCACATGCAAGGCAAACGCCCTCCCCGCTGTGCTCTCACTCTGGCCCCTCCCCAAATAAAATACTGAATATCAAATACCAGGTGGTGGGTGTGTGTGTGTCTTAAGTGTGAAAGACTTTAAATGACTTTTCAATAGATGACATTAAAAATATAGATTTTATATAAAGTATATGCTTATAGATATTTTAATACATTCTTAACGTCTGGGGAATATCTGAGTATTTTTTTCCCATACTGAGTTCTACAATTATTAGGAGTGCTGTAATTTTCTTTAAGGCTGAGTAGGAAACATCATTTCCATGGCCTGTGGGTTGCGGGTGGGGATGAAACCCACAACCATGCTCGACCACGGAACAACATTTTTGACGCCAAAAGCAAAAAAAAATTTAAAAAAAAGAACAAAAATTCTCCAAATCTCATACCCGTCACTATCTGCACATGCCAACGCATGATGCAGGAACACTTGGGGCCGGAACCAAGTGGCCCTTGGCAGGGTGAGACCCACCCTGGAGAAACGCCATGTCCGGGGTCTCTGCTCTGATTCTGCAACCCTGAACCCGACCCTGGCAGGCAGCCTGCTCTGAGGGGTGCAGAGCCCAAGGGCGGGACCTGGCCCGTGCAGCATTTCCTGCGGGGAGCTATTCAGGGTCCTTCAACCCCTCCGTGTAATTATAGCCCCTCGTGACGGCTGCCCCCCACAATCAATCACAATCAATCAAATCAATCACAATCAACCAAATCAACCACAATCAATCACAATAACAATCAAATCAATCACAATCAATCACAATCGCAATCAATCACAATCAATCAAATCAATCACAATCACAATCAATCAAATAATCACAATCAATCACAATCAATCAATCACAATCACAATCAAATCAATTGCAATCAATCAAATCAATCACAATCAATCACAATCACAATCAATCACAATCACAATCAAATCAATCGCAATCAATCAAATCAATCACAATCAATCACAATCACAATCAATCAATCACAATCACAATCAAATCAATCGAAATCAATCACAATCAATCACAATCACAATCTATCACAGTCTATCACAATCACAATCTATCACAATCTATCAAATCAATCACAATCAATCACAATCAATCAAATCAATCACAATCAATCATGATCCAATCAATCAAATCAATCACAATCACAATCAATCATAATCACTATCAATCAAATCAATCATGATCACAGTCAATCAAATCGATCACAATCAATCACGATCACAATCAAATCGATCACAATCAATCACGATCACAATCAATCAAATCGATCACAATCAATCACAATCCAACCAATCAAATCAATCACAATCGATCACGATCACAAATCAAATCAATCACAATCACGATCACAATCAATCACAATCACAATCAATCACAATCACAACCAAATCAATCACAATCAATCACGATCACAATCAACCAAATCAATCACAATCAATCTCACAATCAATCAAATCAATCGCAATCAATCACAATTACAATAATCACAATCACAATCAATTACAATCGATCACAATCACAATCGATCACAATCACAATCGATCATGTGCCCACACAGGCCCAGGGGGCGGAAAATATTCTATTATCGGGAAGTTAAAAATAAGAACGAAGGACAGTCCTGGCTCCTGCCCAAGCCCGCAGGGCGGCCCCGTTAGCCGGGAGCAGCAGAGACGGGGGGCGAGAGAGCAATGGTCCTGTCCGGGGGTGCCCCGTCCTGGCGGGGAACCCCGCGACCCTCCAGCCCATATATGCTGCCTCCCCGGGGAGGTCTCGGGCCTCCGGGCCCCCGCCTCTACGGTGTCACCGCATCTACCCTCGGGACTCCGCCACGTCGACCCGTCGCCATGGTGTCTGTCCTTGCCACCGTCCACCACCAGCAACCGCACCAGCAACACCACGACCATCTCCATCACCTCCCCAAATCTCCATCACCTCCGCCCACCGCCAGGAGCCATTCCTGAGCGCAGAGCCAGGAGGAATCCCCCCAGAGCATCGCCGGATGAGACCCGAACACACACACACACACACACACACACACACACGAAAACAAAACCGCAGAATCAATTCAGATCAGGTTTTGGCGATGGAACCGGGTCAGGGGTTTGCCTTGGCTTTCGTTTTGTTGTTTGGGGGTGGGCAGACCCCCGGCCGCGCTGGGGGCTTATTCCCAAGTCTGCGCTCAGGGATCGCTCCTGGGGTGCAGGGGATGGCACCGAGGCCGGCCGTGGTGTGACGAAAGGACCCCCACCCCGATCCGAGCTGCCTATCTCCCCAGCTCCCACAAGGGTTTCCCTTGAAAAACGCGGATTCTGCCCAGAAAATAACTTCCCTCTCCCCCCCCACTTCGAAAAAAAAAAGTACTGAAAATTTTAATTCTTTTTTTAAAACCCGAGGGAAGGAACCAACAGCGGCTCTGAGAACCCCCTTCTTTGCTCCCCACAGAAAGATCTCTTGTCTTTCCCGTGTCCCACGTCGGCCGTGAAAAACGGACGGTCTTTATTTATTTATTTTTTTGTTTTTTGCTTTTTTGGGTCCGGCACCTATGGGATGCCGGGGAATCGAACCCGGGTTGGCCGTGTGCCAGGCCAACACCCTCCCCACTGTGCTATCACTCCAGCCCTCCCCTTCCTTCCCTCCCTTCCTTCCTTCCTTCCTTCCTTCCTTCCTTCCTTCCTTCCTTCCCCGTCCTTCCTTCCTTTTTCCCTCCCTCCCTTCCTTCCCTCCTCTCCCTCCTTCCTTCCTTCCCTCCTTCCTTCCTTCTCGCCTTCCTACCTTCCTTGCTTGCTTTCTTCCTTTCTTCTCTCCTTCGTTCCTTCCTCACTCTTCTTCCTTCCTTCCTTCCTTCCTTCCTTCCTTGCTTCCTTTCTTCCTCCCTTTTTCCCTCTGTTCCTTCCTTTTCTCCTTCCCCTTCCTTCCTCCCTCCCTCCCTCCCTCCCTTTCTTCCTTCCTTCCTTCCTTCCTTCCTTCCTTCCTTCCTTCCTTCCCTCCTCTTCCTTCCTTCCTTCCTTCCTTCCTTCCTTCCTTCCCTCCCTCCTCTTCCTTCCTTCCTTCCTTCCTTCCCTCCCTCCTCTTCCTTCCTTCCTTCCTCCCTCCATCCCTCCCTCCCTCCCTCCCTCCCTCCCTTCCTTCCTTCCTTCCTTCCTTCCTTCCTTGTCCTTCCTTCCTTTTTCCCTCCCTCCCTTCCTTCCCTCCTCCTTCCCTTCCTTCCCTCCTCTCCCTCCTTCCTTCCTTCCCTCCTTCTTTCCTTCTCTCCTTCCTACCTTCCTTGCTTGCTATCTTCCTTTCTTCTCTCCTTCGTTCCTTCCTCACTTCTCTTCTTCCTTCCTTCCTTCCTTGCTTCCTTTCTTCCTCCCTTTTTCCCTCTGTTCCTTCCTTCCTTTTCTCCTTCCCCTTCCTCCCTCCCTCCCTTCCTTCCTTCCCTCCCTCCTCTTCCTTCCTTCCTTCCTTCCTTCCTTCCTTCCTTCCTTCCTTCCCTCCCTCCTTCCTCTTCCTTCCTTCCTTCCTTCCTTCCTTCCTTCCTTCCTTCCTTCCTTTCCTTCCTTCCTTCCTTCCTTCCTTCCTTCCTTCCTTCCTTCCCCTTCCTTCCTTCCTTCCTTCCTTCCTTCCTTCCTTCCTTCCTTCCTTCCTTCCTTCCTTCCCCTTCCTTCCTCCCTCCCTCCCTCCCTCCCTCCCTCCCTCCCTCCTTCCTTCCTTCCTTCCTTCCTTCCCCTTCCTTCATCCCTCCCTCCCTCCCTCCCTCCCTCCCTCCCTCCTTCCTTCCTTCCTTCCTTCCTCTCTCTTTTGGTTTTTGGGTCCCACCTGGCAATGCTCAGGGGTCCCTCCTGGCTCTGCACTCAGGAATGACTCCTGGACGTGCTCAGGGGACCCTAGGGGATGCTGGGGATCGAACCCGGGTCGGCCACGTGCCAGGCCAACGCCCGGCTTCGAGAACACCAGGACCTTCGCTTGCGAAGACACACGCGCGTTCTGGGCAGACTCACGGGTCAGCCTGTGCTGCACGCAGGGAGACTTGGCAACCCAGCACCCTGCTTCCCCGGGGACCACACGCACCATCCCTGGACACGCGTCCCATTTCCCTCATGATGTGTCTCCATTCTGAGCACTTTGCCAGGAGCCCAGAGGGGCGGAATGTCCCCTGGGCACGTGGGAAAGTGGGAGGGAACAGGTGGGCGCTGGGCTGGCCAGAGGGCACCGCCGGCAGCCGGAGGACGAGCGTGTCCTGCCGGTGGGGGCGGGGTACAGGGCAGCTAACGGGAACCGCGGGTTGACAGAGGGAGGCGCGCTCGGTACCTGTCTCCCGGCAGCGGGGCCCCGGCCAGCCCGGCCAGCGTGGGGAAGATGTCCATGTTGCTGGTGGGCTCGTCCACTTCCACCCCGGCGGGCAGCACCCCGGGCCAGCGCAGGATGCCGGGCACACGGATGCCGCCTTCCCAGTTGTTCCCTTTGCCCCCTGCAGGCGAGACGCGGGAGGGTCTGTCCCTGGCCAGCAGCACAGGGCAGCTGGGAAGGACAGGGCAGGGCACAGGGGCCAGGGCTGGCCGCCCAGGGACACCCTGAGGGGGCGGACAGTCTGGGTGCTGGGTGGACAGTCTGGATTCTGGTGGACAGTCTGGGTGCTGGGTGGACATTCTGGGTGCTGGGTGCACAGTCTGGGTGCTGGTGGACAGTCTGGGTGGACAGTCTGGGTGCTGGGTGGACAGTCTAGGTGCTGGGTGCACAGTCTGGGTGCTGGGTGGACAGACTGGTTGCTGGTGGACAGTCTGGGTGGACAGTCTGGGTGCTGGGTGGACAGTAGGTGCTGGTGAACACTCTGGGTGCTGGTGCACAGTCTGGGTACTGGGTAAACAGTCTGGATTTTGGTGGACAGTCTGCTGGGTGGACATTCTGGGTGCTGGGTGGACAGTCTGGGTGCTGAGTGCACAGTCTGTGTGCTGGTGGACAGACTGGTTGCTGGTGGACAGTCTGAGTGCTGGTGCACAGTATGGGTGCTGGTGAACACTCTGGGTGCTGGTGGACAGTCTGGGTGCTGGGTGGACAGCTGGATTTTGGTGGACATTCTGGGTGCTGGGTGGACAGTCTTGGTGCTGGGTGCACAGTCTGGGTGCTAGGTGAACAGTATGGATTCTGGTGGACAGTCTGGGTACTTGGTGGACGTCTGGGTGCACAGTCTGGGTGCTGGTGCACAATCTGGGTGCTGGTGGACAGTCTGGGTGCTGGGTGAACAGTCTGGGTGCTGGTGGATAGTCTGGGTGCTGGTGGACAGTCTGGGTTCTGGGTGCACAGTCTGGATTCTGGTGGACAGTCTGGGTGCTGGTGGACAGTCTGGGTTGTGGGTGAACAGTCTGGGTGCTAGGTATACAGTCTGGGTGCTGGGTGCAAAGTCTGGGTGCTGAATGGACAGTCTGGGTGGACAGTCTGGGTGCTGGGTAGACAGTGGGTGATGGGGGTGCACAGTCTGGGTGCTGATGGACAGTCTGGATGCTGGGTGCACAGTCTGGGTGCTTTTGGACAGTCTGGGTGCTAGCGCACAGTCTGGATGCTGGGAACACAGTCTGGGTGGACAATCTGCATGCTGATGGACAGCCTGGGTGCTGGGTGCACAGTCTGGGTGCTGGTACACAGCATGTGACAAATCGCAAGAGGCCGAGGTAGGGGAAATCCCAAGAAATCAGGTTGCCCCGGAGCCATGGGGGAGGCGGGGGGGACCCCAGCCAGCAGCCCCCAGCCTGCCGGGACGGTGCGCTAACCACTGAGCCCTCCCTGGCCCGCAGCACCCTGCAAATAGCCAGGCACCCAGTGGGGTCTGGGGGCTCGAACCTGCGCCAACCGCCCGCACAGGGGGTCTCACCTCTGTAGATGCCGTTGCTGCCGCCATGAACTTCACCCTTGAGGCTCACCTCCTCCACGTGCGCCCCCTGGTCCGACGTGAAGTAGACGAGGGTGTTGTTGGCCAGGCCCAGCTCGTCCAGCGTGTCCAGGATCTGCCCTGCAGGGGACACGGGGACTCGGCGTCAGCAGGGGGTGCTCACTGGGCGGCCCCGGAGGGGGGGGGGGCGCGGACCCCCCAGACGCCCCCCGACAGTGACGCCATCGGGACGACCTCCTCACGGCAGATGCAGGGAGCAGAAAGACTCAGGCAGGGAACAAGCACCCTGATTCTGGGGAAAAAAACCCGTGGTTCTAGAGAGATCCTGTGTCTGACCCACAGGAGCTGGCGCGGACACCTAGAACATTCTAGAGCAATCCGCTGCAAGAGTCCCTGCAGGATGCTAAGCCGTGAAGCTCAAAAGTTCTCGGAGGGTTCTAGAGCAATGAGACCTCCCCCTCCCCTGAGGTCTCAGGGCATCCTAGAGCAATCGGGCTCCAGAATTCTTGGAGTGTTCTAGAACAACCAGGCTCCAGATTTCTTGGAGTGTTCTAGAACAACCAGGCTCCAGAATGCTCTGGGTATTCTTCAGCAATGAGACGGGCGTTCTCATGATATTCCACAGCCAGCAGAGTCCAGAGTTCACCGTGTTCTAGGACAATTCCCCTTGAGTCCTTGCGGTATTCTAGAGCAGAATTTCAGCGTTTTCACATGTTCTAGAGCAATCAACCGCCAGAGTTCTCACAGGGTCCCAGAGCAATCAGAGCTCAGAGTCGTCACAATACTCTAGAGCAACTGGAATCCAGGGGTATCATAGTGTTCTACAGCCATGACCCTCTAAAGTCTTTGCAGTATTCTAGAACAATCAGAGCCCAGAGTCCCCACCATATTCTAGAGCAGTCAAACCATCAGAGCGTTCTAGACTGGTTCAGAGTTTTCAAATGTTCGAGAGCAATCAACCTGCAGGCTTTTCCCAGGGTTGTAGAGCCATCAACCTTCAGAATCTTCACACTGTTCTAGAGCAACCGGAATCCAGAGTTCTCACAGTATTCTAGATCACCAAACCTCCAAAGTCCTCACGTTATTCTAGGTCAATCAGAGCCTTGAAGTATACTAGAGCAGACTCCAGAGTCCTTGCAGTGTTCTAGAGCAGAGTCTAGCGTTGCCATGTATTCTAGAGCAATCAACCGCCATCCAGAGTTCTCACAGTATTCTAGAGAAGACATGGGTCTGCACGGTATTCTAGAGCAGAGTCCAGAGCACCCACCATGGTCTAGAGCAGAGTCCAGAGGTTTCACAGGTTCTAGAGCAATCAACCTCCAGAGTTCTCACAGGGTTCCAGAGCAATCAGAGCTCAGAGTCCTCACAATACTCTAGAGCAACTGGAATCCAGGGGTACCATAGTGTTCTACAGCCATGACCCTCCAAAGTCTTTGCAGTATTCTAGAACAATCAGAGCCCAGAGTCCCCACCGTATTCTAGAGCAGTCAAACCCTCAGAGCGTTCTAGACTGGTTCAGAGTTTTCAAATGTTCGAGAGCAATCAACCTGCAGGCTTCTCCCAGGGTTCTAGAGCAATCAACCTTCAGAATCGTCACATTGTTCTAGAGCAACCGGAATCCAGAGTTCTCACAGTATTCTGGATCACCAAACCTCCAAGGTCCTCACATTATTCTAGATCAATCAGAGCCTTGGAAGATACTAGAGCAGACTCCAGAGTCCTTGCAGTATTCTGGAGCAGAGTCTAGCGTTTTTATGTGTTCTGAAGCAATCAACCTCCATCCAGAGTTCTCAGGGTATTCTAGATCACCAAACCTCCAAAGTCCTCACATTGTTCTAGATCAGAACCTTGGAGTATTCTAGCGCTGACTCCAGAGTCCTTGCAGTGTTCTAGAGCAGAGCCTAGCGTTTTCATGTGTTCCAGAGCAATCAATCTCCATCCAGAGTTCTCACAGTATTCTGGATCACCAAACCTCCAAAGTTCTCGCATTATTCTAGATCAATCAGAGCCTTGGAGTATACAAGAGCAGACTCCAGAGTCCTTGCAGTGTTCTAGAGCAGAGCCTAGCATTTTCATGTGTTCCAGAGCAATCAGCCTCCATCCAGAGTTCTCACAGTATTCTGGATCACCAAACCTCCAAAGTCCTTGCATTGTTCTAGATCAGAGCCTTGGAGTATTCTAGAGCTGACTCCAGAGTCCTTGCAGTGTTCTAGAGCAGAGCCTAGCGTTTTCATGTGTTCCAGAGCAATCAACCTCCATCCAGAGTTCTCACAGTATTCTAGAGCAGACATGGGTCTGCACAGTATTCTAGAGCAGAGTCCAGAGCTCCCACCATGGTCTAGAGCAGAGCCCAGGGGTTTCACGGGTTCTAGAGCAATCAACCTCCAGATTCCTCACAGTACTCTAGAGCAACTGGAATCCAGAGGCATCGCCACATTGTAGAGCAAAAAAAAATCTCCAGAGTTCTTGCTGTGTTCTAGAGCATGGAACCTGCAGAGTTCTCACACTATTCTAGAACAATCTGAGCTCTCCCTTTATTCTAGGCAACCGCACTGGACTTGTACCGTATTCTAGAAAAACGAGCCTCTGTGACGGCAAAGTACCGGCAAGCAGGAGGCTGAGACAGCTCAGAGTACTCGAGAAACCGCAGGACCAGCGACCTCCAAGTCTTCTCGTCCCCTCGGGACAAGTGACCTTCAAGTAGTCTAGAAGATTCCGAGGCGGCCACCTCACCGTTTTCTGGGAAAGTGGCACCCACAGACCACAGGGGCTCTCAAGAAAATGATTTCCAGAGATCGGCATGGATTTGAGACCATTTAGATTTTTTTTTTTTAAAAGAAAATTGTACAAGAATCTGAGCGAGCAACCCCTAGTCCTCCCTGGTCACAGTTCCAGACCCTTGCTGCCCCTTCCTCCTGCCCACACCCGGGGCCACGAGGAAGCCACTGACGGTGGCCGTGTGCTCGGAGTCAGGGCGTGGCGGAGAATCCCGGCCACGGCTGATGGGCCAAGCCTGCAGGAGGCGCCTGTGCTGAACACAGCAGCCAGGGTTGCCCGCCCCACTCGGCCCTGTGCCCTGCACACCGGCTTCTGCGCCCAGACCTCCTGCCTGGCTGCAGTGAGTTGGACTCTGTCCCTGGTGCTCTGCTCTCTGCGAGGAGCCCGGTTCCACGCCCCACGCCGGCAGTGACTGATCTGCAATCAACACTAAAGTGTTGTCTGTCTCTCTGTCTCTGTCTCTATCTGCCTCGCTCTGTCTTTGTCTGTCTCTGTCTGTGACTCTCTCTGTCTCTTTCTCTGTCTTTGTCTCTGTCTCTCTCTCTGTCTGTCTCTGTCTATCTCTCTGTATCTCTCTGACTTTCTCTGTCTCTGTCTCACTGTCTGTCCATGTCTATATCTCCGTGTCTGCGTCTCTTTCTGTCTGTCTCTGTGTTTGTTTCTCCGTCTCTCTCTGTGTCTCTCTCTGTATCTGTCTCTGTGTTTGTCTGTCTCTCTGGTTCTCTCTCTCTGTCTGTCTCTGTCTCTGATGGTCTCTCTGTCTGTCCATGCCTATATCTCTCTTTCTGTCTGTCTCTCTGTTTCTCTGTCTCTCTGTGTCTCTCTCTGTACCTGTCTCCATCTGCCTGTCTCTATTTGTCTATCTCTGTCTGTGTCTGTGTCTCTATGTCTCTGTCTGCCTCTTTCTCTGTATCTGTCTGTCTGTGTCTGTGTGCCTGTCTCTGTCTCTCTATGTCTCTGCATCTGTCTCTGACTTTCTGTCTCTCTGCCTGTCCATGTCTATATCTCTGTGTCAGTGTCTCTTTCCGTCTGTCTCTCTCCGTGTTTGTCTCTCTGTCTCTGTGTGTCTCTCTCTGTATCTGTCTCTGTCTGCCTGTCTCTGTCTGTCTTTCTCTGTCTCCCTGTCTCTCTCTCTGTCTCTATCTGGCTCTCTCTGTCTTTGTCCGTCTCTGTCTGTGACTCTCTCTGTCTCTCTCTCTCTCTCTCTCTGTATCTGTCTTTGTCTCTGTCTCTCTCTGTCTCTATCTCTCTGTATCTGTCTCTGACTGTCTCTGTCTCTCTCTGTCTGTCCGTGTCTATGTCTCTGTGTCTGTGTCTCTTTCTGTCTGTCTCTCTCCGTGTTTGTCTCTCTGTCTCTGTGTGTCTCTCTCTGTCTCTGTCCGCCTGTCTCTATCTGTCTTTGTCTGTCTCTCTGTCTCTGTCTCTCTCTGTCTCTGTCTCTCTCTCTCTCTCACACAAATACACACACACACACTCAACACTCGGCAACAGGCCAGCACAGCTTAGGGGCTCCGAAGGGCAAGGGTCAGCTGTGTGTGGGGGGGGTGCGGAGTCGGGCAGAGCCCGCAGGCGCCAGGGACCCGGGGAGGTGCCCGCTCGCTCCCGCCGGGAGGCCCTCAGTGCTCACAGCTGGGACACGCTGGAAACGTCCACTGCTGCCCAGGGGCACTGCCCAGGCTGCCCGCGGCACGTGTGGAGGGAGAGGGAGGGACGACGGAGGGAGGAAAGGGAGGAAGGAAGGAAGGAAGGGAGGGAGGAAGGAGGGAAAGAGGGATGAAGGGACCTTGAGCACTGAGTCAGGAGTTCGCTTTCCATGACCCTGAGCACTAAGCCAGGAGTCGCCATCTTTGACCTTAAGCACTGAGCCAGGAGTCACCTGCCGGGACCCTGAGCACTAAGCCAGGATTTGCCATCTGTGACCTTGAGCACTGAGCCAAGAGTCGCCTCCTATAACTTGGAGCACTGAGCCAGGAGTTGCCTGCCATGACCTGGAGCACTGAGCCAGGAGTGGCCTGCTGTGACCCTGAGCACTGGCCTTGAGCATTGAGCCAGGAGTTCGCTTTCGTGACCCTGAGTACTAAACCAGGAGTCGCCTGCTATGACCTTGTGCACTGAGCCAGGCAGTCACCTGCAGTGACTTTGAGCACTGAGTCAGGAGTTCGCTTTCCATGACCCTGAACACATAGCCAGGAGCCACCTGCTATGCCCTTGAGCACTGAGCCAGGAGTCGCCTGCTATAACTTTGAGCACTGAACCAGGAGTTCACTTTCCGTGACCCTGAGCACTGAGCCAGGAGTTGCCTCTGTGACTTTGAGCACTGAGTCAGGACTTGCCTTCCGTGACCTGGAGCACTAAGCCAGGAGTCACCTGCCGTGACCCTGAGTACTGAGCCAAGAGTTGCCTGCTGTGACCCTGAGCACTGAGCCAGGAGTCACCTGCCATGATCTTAAGGACTGAGCCAGAAGTCACCTGCCATGACCCTGAGCACTAACCCAGGAGTCGCCTGCTATAACTTTGAGCACTGAGCCAGGAGTTCACTTTCCATGACGTTGAGCACTGAGCCAGGAGTTCATTTTCGTGACCCTGAGCACTGAGCCAGGAGTCGCCTGCCGTGACCTTGAACCTGAGCCAAGAGTCGCCTGCTGTGACCTTGAGCACTGAGTCAGGAGTTTGCTTTCCATGACCCTGAGCACTGAGTCAGGAGTTTCCTCCTGCAACCCTGAGCACTAACCCAGGAGTCACCTGCTATAACTTTGAGCACTGAGCCAGGAGTTCGCCTTCCATGACCCTGAGCACTGATCCAGGAGTCACTTGCCATGACCTTGAGCACTGAGCCAGGAGTTCATTTTCGTGACTCTGAACACTGAGCCAGGAGTCGCCTGCTGTCAACTTGAGCACTGAGTCAGGAGTCACCTGCCGTGACCCCGAGCACTAAGCCAGGAGTCCCCTGCTATAACTTTGAGCACTGAGTTGGGACTTGCCTTCCATGACTGTGAGCACTGAGAAGGAGTCGCCTGTTGTGACCCTGAGCACTGAGCCAGGAGTCGCCTGCTAGGACCTTGTGCACTGAGCCAGGAGTTTGCCTTCTGTGACATTGAGCACTGAGGCATGAGTCGTCTGCTATGATCCTGAGCACTGAGGCAGGAGTCATCTGCCGTGATCTTGAGCACTAAGCCAGGCGTTTCCTGCTGTGACCTTGAGCACTGAGTCAGGAGTTCACTTTCTGTGACCCTGAGCACTGAGCCAGGAGTCGCCATCTGTGATCCTGAGCACCACTAATCCAGGAGTTGCCAACTGTGACCTTGAGCACTGACTCAGGAGTTGCCTTCCGTGACCTCGAGCACTGATCCAGGAGTCGCCTGCTGTGACCTTGAGCACTGAGTTAGGAGTTCGCTTTCCGTGACCCTGAACACACAGCCAGGAGTCACCTGCTATGCCCTGAGCACTGAGCCAGGAGTTGCCTGCTATGACTTTGAGCACTGAGCCAGGAGTCACCTGCCGTGACCTTGAGCACGGAGTCAGGAGTTCACTTTCCGTGACCCTGAGCACTGAGCCAGGAGTCTCCTGCTGTGACCTTGAGCACTGTCCCTCTCTCCTTCCCGCCACCCTCCCGCTGCGCCCCCTCGCCCTCTCTCCCCCCTGCCCTGCATCCTCCACGCCATCTCCCGCCCCCCAGGAAGGACCCACCCACTGAAACATACACACACACACAACACACACACAACACACACAGACACACACACTAACATATATGCACACAAATACACAGACACACACATCACTACACAGAGACACAAATACAGACACAGAGACACACAAAGACACACACTAACACATGTACACACACATCTTCACACAGCACATGCATGTTCATGCATGCACACTTACACATTCACAGCACATCCGTATTCACACACGTGCATACACTCACCCACGCACATTCACACGCCACACACATACACACAGACACACAAAAATATACACAGACACAAATACACACAAATACACAGACACACACCCAGCCCATCCACTAATACATACACAGACACACACAGATACAGACACACTGACACACAGACACACAGACTCACAGGCACATGCCATCTCTCTCACACAGATACACACAAATACACAGACACACACAGACACACACACATCACTACACAGAGACAAATACACACAGACACAGAGACACATGCAGACACACACTAACACATGTACACACACATGTCTTCACACAGCACATGCATGTTCACGCATGCACACTTACACATTCATCGCACATCCGTATTCACACACGTGCATACACTCACCCACGCACATTCACACGCCACACACAGACACACAAAAATATACACAGACACAAATACACACAAACACACAGACACACACACACCCCATACACTAATACATACACAGACACACACAGATACAGACACACTGACACACAGACTCACAGGCACATGCCATCTCTCTCACACAGGTACACACAAATACACAGACACACACACTAATACATACACAGACACACACAAATACAGACACACTGACACACAGACACACAGACCCACAGGCACATGCCATCTCTCTCACACAAACAGACACACAGGCACACACCGTCTCTCACACACAAATACACACACTGACACACAGACACACACAGGCACACACCATCTATCTCTCACGCACGCAAATACACACAGACATATGCACACAAATACACACAGGCATACACGAACACACATACATACACTCCTTCATACACAAATACACACCCAGACACGCAGAGATACAGACACACACATCCATGCATGCACAAATACACCAAGTCACACACACAGAACGCAGACACAACACATACACACACACGCACCCGGCAATACTCACAGACCCCCACAGACAGACACACCGTCTCTCCCACACACACCCAGTCATATACACACACAGTCGCACCGCGACACACAGACTCACACCCTCTCTCACACACGGACACTCGCCCCACTCCCACAACCCCCCCACAGAAACACACACACACACGTGGACACAACCCCACGCCCGCCCCAAACCCCCACCACACACAGACGCACCCTCTCTCACACACACAGAGAAACACACACTCACAACACAGTCACACACGCAGACACACACACCCCACAACGAGTCTCGCCGGGCAGCTGCCCGCCCGCCCGCGTCCACTCACCCACGCTCCAGTCCATCTCCTCGGCCGCGTCCCCGTAGGCGCCGTGGCGGCTCCTGCCGGCGAAGTCGGGCCCCGCGAAGAGGGCCGTGTGCACCTGCAGGTACGACACCAGCAGCAGGAAGGGCGACCCCGCGTTCCTGTGGGCACACGCGGGCGGGCGGGCGGGCGGCACGGTGAGGCCCCGCGGGAAGCCCGGCCCCGGCCCACCCGGGTCCAGCCCCGGCATCCCCGAGGGTCCTGGAGGAATGAGCCCCGAGCACTGCCGGGGGAGTCCCCACACCAAGAGAACCACACGGAAGCGTGTCCCGGGATCCTCCTCACACACGTGACCGGCAGGCGTCAGCACGACCCGCACGGTAGCTGGGGCGCCCCTGCCCTGCGCCCATCAGCCTCGCCCTCCACGCCCCTGCCCTGCACCCTTCATCCCTCCCTCCACCCTCCCCCTGCATCCTCCATCCCTCCCGCCACACCCCTGCACACTTTACCCCTCCCTCTATACGCCTGCCCAGCACCCTTCATCCCTCCCTCCACCCTCTCCCTGCACCCTTCATCCCTCCCTCCACACCCCTGCACCCTCACCCCTCCCTCCACACCCCTGCACCCTCATCCCTCCCTCCACACCCCTGCATCCTTCAGCCCTCCCTCCACACCCCTGCACCCTCATCCCTCCCTCCACACCCCTGCACCCTCATCCCTCCCTCCACACCCCTGCACCCTCATCCCTCCCTCCACACCCCTGCACCCTTCATCCCTCCCTCCACCCTCCCCCGGCATCCCTCCCTCCACACCCCTGCACCCTCATTCGTCCCTCCACACCCCAGCTCTGCACCCTTTATTCCACCCTCCACACCCCTGCACCCTCATCCCTTCCTCCACCCCCCTGCCCTGCATCCTTCATCCCGCCCTTCACACCCCTGCACACTTTATCCCTCCCTCTATACCCCTGCCCAGCACCCTTCATCCCTCCCTTCACCCTCTCCCTGCACCCTCATCCCTCCCTCCACACCCCTGCACCCTCATCCCTCCCTCCACACCCCTGCATCCTTCAGCCCTCCCTCCACACCCCCTGCTCGGCATCCTTCATCCCGCCCTCCACACCCCTACCCTGCACCCTTCATCCCTCCCTCCACCCTCCCCCAGCATCCCTCCCTCCACACCCCTGCGCCCTCATCCGTCCCTCCACACCCCTGCTTTGAATCCTTCATCCGTCCCTCCACACTCCTGCATCCTTCAGCCCTCTCTCCATACTCCTGCCCGACATCCTTTATCCCTCCTCCACCCCCCTGCCCTGCATCCTTCATCCCGCCCTTCACACCCCTGCACACTTTATCCCGCCCTCTATACCCCTGCCCGGCATCCTTCATCCCTCCCTCTACCCTCCCCCTGCACCCTTCACGCCCTCCCTCCACACCCCTGCCTGGCATCCTTCATCCCGCCCTCCACACCTCTGCCCTGCATCCTTCATTTCTCCCTCCATCCTCCCCCTGCATCATCCTTCATGCCCTCCCTCCACACCCCTGTCCGGCATCCTTCATCCCGCCCTTCACACCCCTGCATCCCTCATCCCGCCCTCCACACCCCTGCATCCATCATTCATTCCTCCAAACCACGGCCCTGCAAACTTCATCTCGCACTCCACACCCCTTCCCTGCATCTTTCATGCCCTCCCTCCACACCCCTGCATCCTTCATCCCCGCCCTCCACACTCCTGCCCTGCCTCCTTCATCCCACCCTCAACACCCCTTCCCTGCACCCTTCACGCCCTCCCTCCACACCCCTGCCCTGCCTCCTTCATCCTGCCCTCCACACCTCTGCCCTGCATCCTTCATTTCTCCCTCCACCCTCCCCCTGCATCCTTCATGCCCTCCCTCCACACCCCTGTCCGGCATCCTTCATCCCGCCCTCCACACCCCTGCACCCTTCATCATGCCCTCCACACCCCTGCACCCTTCATGCCCTCACTCCACACCCCTGCATCCTTCATCCCTTCCTCCACACCCGTTTGCCATCCTTCATCCCACCCTCCACACCCCTGCACCCTTCATCCCGCCTTCCACACCCCTGCATCCTTCATTAATTCCACCGGACCACTGCCCTGCCTCCTTCATCCCTCCCCTCTCCCTCCCGCACGCCCTCCTCCCCTCCGCCCTGCATCCCTCCACCCCCGTGTCCTGCTCCCCCCGGGACCCGAGCTTGTCCCCCGCGGCCGCCACTCACTCACCGGCGCAGGTACTGGGTGGCCTCGGCCGTGAGCCTCTGGGTGAGCCGCTCGTAGCTCAGCGGCTGCTGCGTGATGTCGCGGCCGCGCATGAGGAAGCAGTTGAGCGGGCGGTAGGTGTGCAGGAAGGCCACGAGCAGGGCCAGCAGGGCGGCGGCGGCCGCCAGCAGCAGCCCGAACACCAGCGGGGGCACGCGCAGGAGGCCCAGGCGCTGCAGGGCGGCCAGCGTCACCAGCGCGATGGCCAGCCCCTGCAGCGGCACGAACACCAGCAGCCGCACGCCCGTGCCGAACACGCTGCCCGCACCCGGCTTGCAGTCCCGCAGGTTGGTCAGCGGCAGCCCGTAGAAGTGCTCGAACCCGTGGCTCAGCGGGTGGTGGCAGAAGTCGCTGGTGTCGGCACAGTGCACGCCCAGGTGCCACTTCCCTGCGGACACGTGGCCACTGAGGACGACGGGTTCCTGGGAACCTCACTCCCAGCCGGGGCTGCTGCTCCCCTGGGCACAGAAGCTTCCCCGCCCCGCCTCACCCCTGCCCTGCCCACCGCCACCGAGAGTCCCCCGGCCACCCCCCAGGGCACTGCCTACCCACGAGCGCCGTGTGGTAGCCTTGCTCCCGGAGCAGCTTGGCGAAGGTGACCTCGCCGGGCGGGAGGCCGCCAGAGGACGCCGTGAAGATGAACACGCCCACTCGAGACCGCGAGGCTATCCCTGCGGAACACAGGGCCAGCAGGCCGGTGAGTCTCCACGGCGGGCCGCGGGGCCCAGGAGGAAGGACCAGCGAGGGCCGGGGCGGGGGTCGGTGGCGGGTTACCTGACCGGATGGGGTAGCGGCCCGTGAGGAAGGCCGCCCGGCTCGGGGTACAGAGCGGAGAGGCCGCCAGGTGCTGCGTGAGCTTCACCCCGCCGGCCGCCAGCCGGTCGATATTGGGGGTCCTGTGGGGAGAGGGGTCCGAGTGAGCGGGGCCGGCCTGAGGCCCCCTGCGCCCGGGTGCTGCAAGCCAGGCCTCCCTCTGGTCACTCCTGCACAGGACACAAGGCCACACAGCAACCAAACACAAGTGCAAACACACACACACACACACACACACACACACACCCTCCCAAGGTTTCCACCATGGCCCGCTCTCTGTGTGTGTGTGTGTCTGTGTGTGTGGTCTGCGTGCATGTTTCTCTGTCTGGGTGTGTCTGCATGTGCGCCTGTGCATACCTGCGTCTCTGGGTGTCTGTGTGTATCGGTGTGTACACATGTGCATATCTGCCTCTCTGGGTGTCTGTGTCTATGTGCGTGTGCGCGTCTGTGTGTGTGTCTGTGCGTACGCCTGTGCACATCTGCCTCTCTGGGTGTCTGTGTGTGTCTGTGTCTATGTGCGTGTGTGCGTGCCTGTGCGTGTCTGCCATGGGTCTGCAGCCTGTGTGTGTCTCTGTATGTCTGTGTGTGTGTGCCTGTGCGTGTCTGCATGTATGCCTGTGCATATCTGCCTCTCTGGGTGTCTGTGCGTGTCTGTGTCTATGTGCATGTGCGCGTCTGTGTGTGTGTCTGTGCGTACGCCTGTGCACATCTGCCTCTCTGGGTGTCTGTGCGTGTCTGTGTCTACGTGCGTGTGTGCGTGCCTGTGCGTGTCTGACATGGGTCTGCAGCCTGTGTGTGTCTCTGTATGTCTGTGTGTGTGTGCGCCTGTGCGTGTCTGCATGTATGCCTGTGCATATCTGCCTCTCTGGGTGTCTGTGCGTGTCTGTGTCTATATGCGGGTGCGCGTCTGTGCATGCCTGTGCGTGTCTGCCAAATGCCTGCGACACGTGTGCGTCTCTGTATTTCTGTGTGTATGCCTGTGCGTGTCTGCGTGTTTCCGTTGTACGTGTGTGCTTGTGGATCTGTGTTATGGTCGCGTGCATGTCTCTGGGTGTGTTTGTGTGCCTGCATGTATTTGTGAGTGTGTGTCTCTGTGTTTCTGTGTGTATGGCTGCAGCTGCGTCTGTGGGATCAGTGTGTTTGTGTCTGTTTTTGTATATGTGTGTCTACTTCTATGTGTGTCCGTCCCTCTGTTTCTGGATCCGTGCATGTGTTTGCACTTGTATTTCTATGTTTGCGTGTCTGTATGCATACCTGGGTGTATATGCATGTGTGTTCCTGTTGTGTGTGTGTGTTTACTGTGTGTATTCCTGAGCATCTGAGTGCATGTGTGTGTGCATGACTGATCTGTGTACCTGTATATATTTCTGTTGCAGGTGTACTTATGTGTGTGTTTGCGCCTCTGTGTGTGCGTCCGTCTGTCTCTGTGTAGCTGTGTCTATGTCTGTTTCTGTATTCATGCACACATCGTGTTTCTCTCTGCATGTGAGCCTCCGTGTGCATGTGCATGTATTTCTGTTGCACGTGTGCTTGTGTCTGTGTGCATGACTGATCTATGCGGATCTGCTTTTCTATTGCATATGTGTGTGTGCGTGTGTGTCTGCATCTATGCATGTGTGTCCGTGTGTGTGTCTGGGTGCATGCGTGTGTGTGCATATGGCTGTCTCTGTGTGTCTGTGTATGCACACGTGTGCGTGCATGTTTGTGTGCGTGTGTGCATGTTTGTGTGCATGTGTGCGAGTATATGCCTGTATGTCCCTGTGTGTGCATGCGTGTGTCTGCGTGTGCATGCGTGGGTCTGTGCGTCTGTGTGTGTGCATGCATGTGTCAGTGTCAGTGCGTGCCTGTGTGCGTGTTCGTTTGTCAGTGTGTATGTCTGTGTGCATGTGTCTCTGTGTGTCTCTGTGTGCACACGTGTGTGCATGCGTGTGCCCTGGGCCTGCACCAGGTGAGCCTGGAAGGCCCCTGTGTGCCGTGCCCGCGTCCCCGGGGCCCCTCCCGCCGCTCGGGCCGGCGCCCACCTGAGGGTCGTGTTGCCGTAGCAGCCGGGGTCCCCGATGCCCAGGTCGTCAGCCATGAGCAGCACGATGTTGGGCCTGGACGCCGCCTGGCCGCGCGCCGCCCGCAGCAGCCAGAGCAGGCAAAGGAGCACGCGCCGCATCTTCCTGCGGGACACACGGGGGTCAGGGGGACACGCGGGCAGCAGGAGACCACCGCCTCCTGCTGCTGCCCACGCCTGCAGGGTCCTGCACGGCCTCCGCTGCAAGGACACTGCCAGGCACCGCCCCCTGGTCACGCCTCCCACTAGGCCACGCCCCCACCCAGACAAGACCACGCCTCCCCACAGGGAAAAGCCCCTGGCCACGCCTCCCCAGCAAGCCACGCCTCCTATTCAAACAAAGCCACGCCTCCCCACAGGGAAACACCCATGGCCACGCCCCCAAGCAAGCCACGCCTCTTATCCAAACAAAGCCACGCCTCCCCACAGGGAAACACCCATGGCCACGCCTCCCCAGCAAGCCACGCCTCCTATCCAAACAAAGCCACGCCTCCCCACAGGGAAACGCCCCTGGCCACGCCTCCCCAGCAAGCCACGCCTGCCACCCAGACAAGGCCACACCTTCCCACAGGGCACTGCCCCTGGCCATGCCCCCAGAAAGGCCACGCCTCCCCACAGGGCACTGTTCTGGCTATGCCCCCCAACCTAGGTCACGCCTCCCACACAGACAAGGCCATGCCTCCCCCAGCGTACTGCCCCTGCCCACGCCTCCCCAGCAAGGCCACGCCTCTCACGCAGTCAAGGCCACGCCTCCCCTCAGGGCACTGGCCCTGGCCATGCATCCCCCACAGGCCTGGCCACTCCTCCCACCATACAAGGACCCGCCCCATTTGGGGCCACACCTCCAATAAGGCCACGCCTCCCACACAGGGCAATACACTTGGCCACGCCTCCCACCCATATAAGGATATGTCTCACCTATGAGGCCACGCCCCCAAGAACACGTCCAATAAGGCCACGCCCCTTTCTTAAGCAATACCCTTGGCCACGCCTCCCATTCATACAAATCACGCCCCTAAGCGGCCACGCCTCCAGTAAGGCCACGCCTACCTACACTAGGCCACGCCTCTCCCACAGGGCAAGACCCTTGGCCACAAGAGGAAACATGAAGAAACGTCCCTGCTGAGGTCCCACGGGGATGGAGCGCGCAGGCAGACGTGATGTGAGCCGGATGGCCACGTCAGCGTCCACGTGGGCACAGGAGCAGATTTGAGAAGCCGGAAGCCAGGGTGAGGGGTTGGCAAGAGCAGCTGGCACTCCCGGGCAAGCAGCCCGGTGCTTGGCACGCTTCCCGGGGAGAAGGGATGTCCAGCACCGCCACGGATGCCCACCACAGCCCAGAGGCCATGCAGGCTCAGGGGCCCACCTAGGGGCACTCAGCACTCAGGGGTCTGACGCCAGTTTCCCCTCCCACCAGCCTGGAGGGCCACCCCTCGACTTGAAAGTGGGGGTTCCTCTCACCGTCTCCCATGTCCCTTTTAGAGGCAGCAAGCAGTTGGCGGTGCTCAAGGGGCTGTGCCCAAGGGTCACTCCTGGCAGTGCTCAGGGTGGAACCAAGATCTCCTAAACCCCCACTAGCCACGACACCCGTTCACATCAATGGATCTACGTCACTTGGCGTTGGAAGCACCAAAGGGCTTTCTCTGGTCGACAGAGCGTTTGAGGCCGTTGTTGACCTCCCAAAAGGGCCTGGCTCAGGAACGCCAAAGGGGGCGTGGCCTTGGAGGCCGTGGCCAGTCAAGGCGCAGCCGCAGGTGGGTATGGCCAATGGAAGGCGTGGCCAAATGGAGGTGAGGCTAAATGGATGGGGTCCAGGATTGGCTAAATGGGAGGCGTGGTTAGAAAGAGGGCGTGGTCAAAGGGAGGTGGGGCTAAGGGGTGTGGATAAATGGGGGCGTGGTTAGAAAGGCGTGGTCAAAGGGAGGCACGGTTAGAAAGAAGGCGTGGTCAAAGGGAGGCGTGGTTAGAAAGAAGGTGTGGTCAAAGGGAGGTGTGGCTAAGGGGTGTGCTTAAATGGGAGGCGTGGTTATGAAGAAGGTGTGGTCAAAGGGAGGCGTGGTTAGAAAAGTGTGGTCAAAGGGAGGTGTGGCCAAGGGGTGTGCTTAAATGGGAGGCGTGGTTACGAAGAAGGCGTGGTCAAAGGGAGGCGTGGTTACGAAGAAGGCGTGGTCAAAGGGAGGCGTGGTCAGAAAGAAGGCGTGGTCAAAGGGAGGTGTGGCCAAGGGGTGTGCTTAAATGGGGGCATGGTTAGAAAGAAGGCGTGGTCAAAGGGAGACGTGGCCAAAGGGTGTGGATAAATGGGGGCATCGTTAGAAAGAAGGCGTGGTCAAAGGGAGCTGTGGTTAGAATGAAGACGTGATCAAAGGGAGGCGTGGTTAGAAAGAAGGCAAATGGGAGGTGCGGCCAAGGGGTGTGGATAAATGGGAGGCGTGGTTAGAAAGAAGGCATGGTCAATGGAAGGTGTGGCCAAGGGGTGTGGATAAATGGCTGGCGTGGTCAGAAAGAAGGCGTGGCCAAGGGGTGTGCTTAAATGGGAGGCGTGGTTGCAAAGAAGGCGTGGTCAAAGGGAGGCGTGTCCAATAAATGGGAGGCGTGGTCAGAAAGAAGGCATGGTCAAAGGGAGGCGTGACCAAGGGGTGTGGATAAATGGGAGGCGTGGTTAGAAAGAAGGCGTGGTCAAAGGGAGGGTGGCCAAGGGTTGTGCTTAAATAGGAGGCATGTTTACGGAGAAGGTGTGGTCAAAGGGAGGCGTGGTTCGAAAGAATGCGTGGTCAAGGGAGGTGTGGCCAAGAGGTGTGGATAAATGGGAGGCATGGTTAGAAAGAAGGCGTGGTCAAAGGGAGCTGTTGTTAGAATGAAGGCATGGTCAAAGGAAGGCGGGGTTAGAAAGAAGGCGTGGTCAATGGGAGGCGTGGTTAGAAAGAAGGTGTGGTCAAAGGGAGGTGTGGCCAAGGGGTGTGGATAAATGGGAGGCGTGGTCAGAAAGAAGGCGTGGTCAAAGGGAGGCGTGACCAAGGGGTGTGGATAAATGGGAGGCGTGGTTAGAAAGAAGGTGTGGTCAAAGGGAGGTGTGGCCAAGGGGTGTGGATAAATGGGAGGCGTGGTCAGAAAGAAGGCGTGGTCAAAGGGAGGCGTGACCAAGGGGTGTGGATAAATGGGAGGCGTGGTTAGAAAGAAGGCGTGGTCAAAGGGAGGCGTGGCCAAGGGGTGTGGCTAAATGGGAGGCGTGGTCAGAAAGAAGGCGTGGTCAAAGGGAGGCGTGACCAAGGGGTGTGGATAAATGGGAGGCGTGGTTAGAAAGAAGGCGTGGTCAAAGGGAGGCGTGGCCAAGGGGTGTGGATAAATGGGAGGCGTGGTCAGAAAGAAGGCGTGGTCAAAGGGAGGTGTGTCCAAGGGGTGTGGATAAATGGGAGGCGTGGTTAGAGTGGAGTCATGGCCAGAGGGGGCGTGGTCAGATAGAAGGCGTGGCCAGATGGAAGGCGTGGCCGGGAAGGGGCGTGGCCAGAGGAAAGGTGTGGCCAGAGACTGTGGGTCAGAGGGAAGGCGTGGCCAGGGGGTGTTGGTCAGGGGGTGGGCAGAAGGGGCGTGGTCAGAGGGAGGGGCTTGGCCACGAGGAAGTCATGCCCAGCAGGAAAGCGTGGCTAGAGGGTCCAAGCATGACCAGATGCAAGGCCTGGACTGTTGCAGTGGACGGACGGGGGCCAGGGGTGGCCGGAGGGGACGCATGTGCAGGGAGCAGGCTCTCGGTCCAAGCAAACACGGCCGGCACCTGGCCGGGTCCTGCCCGCCACCTGCCGGGCTCCCACCCTGCAGAGACCTGATGAAATCTGCTGGCCCTCTGGCACCAGGACAATTAACCGGTGATTTGGCATCCTCCTCTAATTACGGGTCATTGGAATGTTTTGCAACAGCCATAAAAGCGATTTCCATCTCCCTTAATTAGTCCCACTTATAACCCCTTCCCGATCCTTCCCTCAATCACAGCTGGGAATCACCCGGCAGCAAGGGACGGAGAAAAGTGAGTGAGCATGCCACCTCTTAGGGGAGCAGGGACCCCCCCCCAAAGAAGCAGGGCTGGGGTCCCTGGGACCCTCCCAGCTGTCTTCGCTTCAAGGCCCCCAGCATCAGGCCAAGGAGGAAGCTCATCGATACAGCAAGTCTTGCCTCCGAGAGGCCCCGGTGTCCATTGACAGCCCTCCAGAGGTCAGGAGGGGCCACGGAACAGGGACCTGCCCCTGGTGTCTGCACTCACACCTGGGCGTTTCATCTCCACCGTATTTCCTTCAGTGGGAGGTGCAGCTGCAGTTGCAAATACAAAAAAAATAAATTGGACTTGTCAAAAATGCACGGCGGGGGAGGGAAAAGGCTATCAGCTGAGCTCTGGCTCAGCTCAAGCAGGGAGTTCTTGTGTCTGATGGCCCTGGCTGTTTGATGTGCTGAGAAAGAAACGCACACAGAACCCACACACAGAACCCACAGCGCTGAGGAGAACAGAGGTAGGGCTGTCCAGAGGGCGAGCTCACCTGACTCTACCCCACGGGCAGTGACGACAAAGTGACGACAAAAAAAAACGGAACAGCGTCCTTTCAAACATTGCTACGTGATTGGGGCCCAAGGAACAGCACAGTGAGGAGGGCGCTGGCCTTGCATGCAGCCCACCTGGGTTTCATCCCCGGGACCACCTCCCCCCACCCCGAGCCTGCCAGGAATGATCCCTGAGTGCAGAGTCAGAATCAAGCCATGAGCACTGCCCGGTGTGGCAAAGAAAAAAAAACAGAGAATGTGCTTCATGACAAAAGAAAACTTGGACGAAATAACAAGACGCCGTCAGGCAAGGGGACAACATACCTGGGTACCATACATCAGACAAAGGGATCATGTCCAAGACACAGAAAGCACTCACAAAGCTCAAAAAAAAAAAAAAAAAACAGAGTCCAGGGGTCAGCGCAATAGTACGGCAGGTAGGGCATTTGCCTTGCACACGGCCGACCCAGGTTCGATTCCCAGCATCCCATAGGGTCCTCCAAGCACCGCCAGGAGTCATTTCTGAGTGTATGAGCCAGGAGTAACCCCTGTGCATCGCTGGGTGTGACCCCCAAAGC